TACCCCCTCCACACTCAACACCCCAGGACCACCCCTTCCCAGAGCCCCTCCCACCCTCTCTACACACAGTAGGGCGCAAGAAATCTTGGTTGCGGAGCTCTGCGCCCTCAAATTGGATGCCGAGAGCTGCAGACTCCCGTGCTGTCCCCCTAAACGCGCACACACCCCTTCTCCCAGGACACAGGTGCAGGGCGTCGCTAGCTGGTCCTGCAGGTGCAGCATCCCCACGTGCACATACTCTGCAGGGCGTGCGCGGGGGACCTACCTGGGGGTACGCTTCCACGCACACACTCAGCACGTGTGACGTGTACCAGCACACCTGTGCGCCAGGGCACACGGGCAGCACAGCATGCCTTAGCGCCCCACGCAGGACAGGCACCCCGAGTGTACCCTCGGGTCTCCAACTCACACGCACCCCCTAAGCAGACACACACGGTAGGGAGACGTGTGCCTGCGTCCCCCATCACACCCACCCACCCACCTACCTCACCCTCCACCACCCAGGTGTGCACATGCCCGTTTGGATGCGGGCACCGGGCCACAGCTGCCCTGCCTGGTGAATGCTGGCATTTTGGGAGCACTTCCTGTGTGCCGGGCTCCGGTCTGGATTTACTCCCGGATTGGACTTCTCCCACCAATCCATGGGCCAGGTAGGGACAGTCCCCATCCCCGTTTTCCAGAAAGGGAAACAGGTTCAGAGAGGCCAAGCAACCTACCCAAGGCCACCCAGGTGGTGCCAGGGATCAGGGACAGGTAGGCGTGGGCTCAGAGGCCCAAAGTCTTCACACACCCCTATTGTTCACCGTGGCTGCATCTTCTCTCTCACAGCTCAGCTGGCTGGTGCCCGCCCCCCCCCACTTCCCCCCTGTTGCACCCACAAAGTCAGGGCTTCCATGAAATCGCCTCCAGAGCCCAGCCTTCTCCCCTTCTCCCAGCTCCAACAGCACCCCCAGGGCCACCAGCCAGGGCACAGGCTCGGGTGCCAGGCAGTAGTCTCTGAAGGCATCTCCAGCTGCGGGCTCCGGTGCCTCTGCTGGAGCTGCAGCAGGTGCCAGCCCAGCTCTGGGAGGCCCCCCTCTGGTGCACCCCCAGCCAGCGACCCAGGTGGTGAGCAGCTGGGCCCTGGGAGAGAACAGCTGCCCGGGCGGGTGCCGTCAGCGAGAGAGGCTGTGCGCCCGTCTACAGTTTACAAGGCCTGTCCCGGTCTGTGCGTCAGGTCTGGAGGCCTGTAGCTGCCGGGGAGGGGTCCTGGGAACCCTCAGGGGCACCACCGGGGAGGTACCGGCTCTGATGTGGCAGCAGCCTGCCCAAGGTCACGCTGCCCTCTGCTTTCTTGGAAGAGGGCAGCCTGGGGGCCTTGGATTCCGAGGCCCCTCCTGGGGCGCCCAGCAGCCGCGGGCAGGGGCCCCGCTCTTGCATAGAGCCAGAAGCCTTGGCCAGCTGCCTGCATGCCGGTAACCTCCGGCGGGCTGCTGGCCCCTCTCGGAGCCTTGGTTTCCTCCCTTGAAGAGTGGGCCCTGGCATCCCTGGCCGGTGAGCTCCATGCTTGCTGCCACCACCGGCCAGGCCAAATGGGGGAAAGCCCTGCATGAGTCACGAGTCTGGCACCGAGTGGGCATGGCCTGGCCTCTTGCTTCTCTCGTCTGGGCATCCTCTCTCCCTCTGCCCTCACCACCTCGTCCAGCCTGGCCGCCCCGACCCTTTCCCGTGCCCCCCTGCCTGGGCCTCAGGAACACAGGGTGCCATCTGAGCACAACAGTCAAGCTTCCCATCCAGGGGCTAAGTTACTGTGGTGCCATGAGTGGCTACTTCCTTTCTCACTCGGCACCTGATTGAGCACCTACTATGCGCTAGGTTGGCCCTGCTGTAGCTCTGGGGATCCAGCGATAAACAAGAACCCCTGCCTTCATTGGCAGGAGACAGATGACAACCAACCAACCAACCAAACAAACCAGACAACGCCAGTCTTGGGTATACTGAAAAGATCAAAGGGGGTATTTTAATAAAATAATTTTCAGAAGTGAAGCTTCTTCTTTTTTAAAACAAAAAACATTTTATTGATTTTAGAAAGGAAAGAAGAGGGAGAGATAGAAACATCAATGATGAGAGAGGACCATTGTTCCGCTGCTTCTTGCACGCCCGCTACTGGGGATCAAGCCCAAAACCCAGGCATGTGCCCCTGACTGGAATTGAACCCAGGACCCTTCAGCCCACAGGCCGACGCTCTATCCACTGAGCCACTCCAGCTGGGGCAGGAGCAAAGCTTCTTTAGATAAAACAGTCAGGACTCTTCGGGCTGAGATTTGGGGAATGAGAAGGGGCTGGGCCACAGAGCCTTGTTCTAGAAGGCTGAAAAGACTAGTGCGAAAGCTAGGAGGTGGGAAGGAACTCAGCATTCAGGAAATAGCCAAGAGGCTACCCACACTCCAGTGTGGCTGGATCCTAGGGGGCAGGGGCGTGGGGGTGATGAGCTTGCAGGATTGCAAAGGACCCGCCCTCCCCGGCCCCCTGCGGGGCTGGCCAGACCCTGGGCAAGGGCAGGGTTTGGCTTCTCCTCTGCCTGTGATGGGAAGCTGGGGGAGCAGGGGAGTGGGGAGTGGCAGGCTCTGATTTACAGTTTGGAAGCATGGCTCTGGCTGCGGCAAGCGGCGTGGATTGGAGGGGCTAGGGAGGAAGGAGGGGGCGAGCAGGAGGAGGTGACTGCAGTGGTCCAGGCTGGAGAGGAACCTGGCTGACTGCTCAGAGCTCTGTAAGCACCCAGCCCAACACCTGTCCGCTCCCCCTCCTGGAGAAAGCATCCTTGACCACCCTCACCCCCCTCACCTCACCCATCCTCCTCCCTCCCCTCTGCCCTAGCCCCTCACCCAGTGGGACGGTCTGTCTGCCTGTCTGGAGTCCCCAGTCACCAAGGAAGGGCCTGGTCTGCAGGCTTCCAGAAAAATGTATGGGAAATGAATCCCAGAGGCCGGCCTCCTGGGGCTGCACACACAACTACACGCATGCTCCTCGTATGTGTCCCACACACTCAACGTGCATCTTGGGGCAAGAGTGTGGAGGGTGGGATGGGAGATCTGGGGGAGAC